CCTATCGAAGCCTAGACTATAATGGTCAATGAGAGGTTGAAAATGGAACACAAGGTACAGAACGATCCCGACCTCAACTCAGAATAGACCAGCAGAAACAACCCCACCGCAACATCGAACTAGAGATGATCGATTCTCGTTCGGAGGTGACGAATTTCAACGAAGGGGACCCGCAGCCCATCCAGACCCCGTCTCGGCATACGACCCGTTCAGATTGATGCACGAGAACCTGCAAGAGGATAACCAAACGTCCCCAAGTCAAGCAGGAGCATTTAGAAGTTACGTTGAAAAGAATGACGCCGAGCTCAAAAGGATACACGCCATCGTGCATCTGGCGATGAGCTCACCCCCCCCCCCCCCCCGATATCGATCAGGTCATTGAGGAGACCCGCCAAACTCTATTCACAAACCGAATAACCAGTGTAAGGTTACATGATGTCAGAAAGATCAAATTCCCTAAATACTCTGGAAACTCCAATCCAAAAGCGCACGTACGGGCCTTCTAGTTAGCCTTATCTAGAAGCGGGCTACTGCCGTTTCTTCGCCGAGAACCTCACAGGTCCCGTCCTAGAATGATTCGCCGGGCTCGAAGGAAACTTGATCGACGATTTCACCCATCTCTTATCGGCATTCTTGAAGCAGTAGTCGGTGTTTATAGAGACGCGTGCCACTGAAGCCTACCTTTGGAACCTCAAGCAAGCGCCCTTCGAACCACTAAGGACTTACAAATAAATTCAAAGAACTAAAGTCCAAGATATCGATCCTGAACGAAGTTGTCGCGTTGGCAGCCCTGAAAAACGGAGTCTGGTTTTCTTCCAAGGTTAGGAAATAAATGACGGTCCGAGCTCCCACTTCACTCAACGACGCGTTGTATCACGCGTCATACTTTGCAAACCTCGAAGAGGAGATAATGGCCTTGAAGGAACAATAACACGCCAACAAAGGAGTAATTAAAAAACCCAGTACTCCAAAAGACCAAACTACCAAAGGACAGCACTCCTACACCATAGACTCGTCGTCGCAGAAAAAACAGTCGACATATAATCCGAGCAAGTACTGCGCCTTTCACAAACAAAAAGGGCATTCAAACAAATAATGTTGTGCCGCACTCCACAATAAGGAAGAAAAAATAGAAGGAGGTGAGAACACAGAAGAAGAAGAGACCCCGGCAACCCCAAAAGCCAAGAATAAAGGTAAAAGAGGTAGAGAGGTCGAGCCAGAAACACCAGAATCACCACCTCCTGCCCCAAAGAAAAGAGTTGACATGATCTTATAGGGATCCAAACATAAAAAAGCGCTAAATCAAACCGAAGAACGCGTAAGCATCGACATCACGATGACGATACGAGGCCCGATGGAGGTCGATACGACATGTTCTCCTCTCCTCAGACGAACAACCAAACCCCACCACGTGTCCAAAGAGAGCAACAAGTTCAGTAAGATTTGGAGACTGCTGGAGAAACCAATACATAAAAAACAGTACAGTCCGCATTTACTCAAACCCAACCTGTCCGAGGGACAAGGACACCACCAGTCGACACTGACCAAAACATGGAGATTCCTGACGCATCACCAGACAAAAGGAAAAATAATTGATTTCATTTATGGAGGGTCAAAATTCTGCAAATCAATCAACTCCATCAATGCCCACCAACGAAGAGCCGAAAGCAGCACTGGCATACGAGAACCTTTGTCGAGCCCCGACCACGCAATCACCTTCGACGAAAACAAAACCGTCGACCTCGATAAACCACGTCGACGCACTCGTCATAGGACTCGGCGTCAAAGGATGCGAACTGTCTAGTATCTTGCACGCAACTGGATAGCATCCTAGAGAATTATAATCCTAAAAACCTTAATAAAAACCCTAAGTCTAGCATCTTTTCCATTTTAGTGTTAAAAGTCTTAATTTCCATTCTTGATTAAGTAATTTTCGTGCTTAATTGGAATTCCTTTTCGCTCATCTATTCTTTTAACTATGTATACATTCACCTAGAGTTATATTTAACTAGATCTATTAGGTTTCCTAGCTCTTTGTGGATTCGATCCCTAAGTACTACAACTGAACGTCTTATTTGAGAGAGTAATTCACTCCTTAGGGTAATTTGAGTGATATCAATATGTATACATCAAAATAAATTTATCCCTCACTAAAAGAAGTTTCAATCGTCTCTTCAAATCGTCTTTACTCTCGTATCATTTCCCTACCATAAGGTTTAGCAACGACATCTTTAACCTTAGAACCTCCAGATTCCCTTTTAGATCCGCTCATTGACAAGTTCTGAGATATATTCTTGGGAGGTAGCGTTGGTGAATCTTCATCTTGTGTTGGAGACTCACCGTATGAGCTAAAGTTATCATCTTCAGATGACGCACCTTCAGAGTCGTCGAACATATCAAATCCTCTTTCAAATTAATCGCTTACTCTCTCCACCTACTTTCTGTTTTTGTCCTTCCACTTTACTAAAGCAGTCATTCTCATTGTCCTCACATTCCTCCTCCAAACTGCAAACATCGTAACCCCCACTATAATTTTTGTCTCTAGATTCAACTTCTGAGACGTCTACTTCTGAGAAAAAACTGAAAAGATTTTCTCTTCTCTCTTGCTCTGTAATTCCGATTCATTTCGCCATCTTTGTTTTCCGTAATCTCCACACAGAGACGTAGATATTAGATTTTCTTTAGGCTTAGAAAACCTTGCAATTGTTGAGTATTTGAGACGTAAACTGGTGGAGTGATGTGCACCAATGTTTTCAAAGCTTTTTTTTTAGTACATGTCGCTAAGCTGATTCTGATGCCTCAATTCATTCAATCTGTAATCATCGAGTACACATATCAGTTTTTCTTAATCTGGTTACCAGAAGTAATAATTACAAGATCCATAAGATCTCCGAGAAAGATGAAGTATAAGATGAAAAAGATAAAAAAAAAAGATGAAGAAGAAGATGAATAGACATATAAACCGAGTTGTAAATTTTGTTAGTGATGACATGGCAAATCCGATTTGATGACATGGAAGATGGCATGGCAAATCGGTTAGTCAGTCGCCAAGAAAATATATAACTCAGTCTAAATAAATCAGCCCTTATGTAAAATGTAAGCAAGTCGAGACGTGAATACTATTTCAGTAATTAAACTTTTGCTAAAAAATCAGTCGTAATTATCACAGAAAATAATAAGCCAGCCGTATCGTCAAATAATCAGCCGTCAAACGAATGCTATTCTAGTAATTAATCTTTCGTTAATAAGTCAACCATAGATAAGCAGATTTTACTGTTAATACAACCAAGTATGGCTGATTAACAATAACTCAGCCGTAACAATCTACATTAAGTCGGTCGGAAATTAATAACTCAGCCAGTGAATATTCATTAACTCAGCCTTGTCTTAACTATAATTTAGCCGAATTTTCCAAAAATCACACTGCCAATGTATAAATCAACTGTAACTTGTGTATGTAAGTCAGCCGCTATCCCATAAATTAACCAGATTTCTTTAAATTATCCATCACTACGGGTTGACTTATGTTATTAAGTCAGGAAATATGTCTTAAGTCAGTCGTATTATTTAATTCAGACGCAACGTAATATTAACTGAGCCAGTAATGATGTACGTAGCGCTTTATAATTGACTTAATAAAAATATAGAACCAAATTTCTATGTGCCATTAGGTTTTTGCTTATGTGATATTAAAAAGTAATGGCATTTTTGTAAATATGTTTTTCTCATAGCATAAAAAAATATACTTGGTATTAAAAATGACACTAAAAAAAATTGTATGGTTCTTATTAATTGTCCTAAAATATGTATTATTTGAGTAATTTTCCTTTTTTATAAGCAAGTAGATATCAATCGATGGTGGAGTTGAAATCAAAAAATTTCATCTTTTTGTTAAAATTAAAAAAAAAGTGTAAATTGATTTAGGCACATCGTCAACGGTTCAAAATGTGTATTGATTCTAGATTTATTAATACTTTACAAAATATGAGATAATTTATGTATATTTAAGTATAATGATCACCGGAGCGAAATCTCTTTATTTTTGTAAGAGAGCATAACAAAAACTAACACAAACCTTGCAACCAAGTAAAATGAATTAGAAATTAAAATGAAATTTAGCAGAAAATTAATGATCACTTTGTCCGTCTTAAAAAGAATAGAGTGCTAACTGTTATTTTTATAGAACCTAAGTATATATATTTGTTGTCTACAAGTATTACAATACATTATGCTACAAAACACATTTTGCTACATAATACACTGTTTTACCAGAAAACTTTATCATCTTCTTTTCCCGTACGCAGTACAGGGCATAATACTAGTATTTATATAAATTGTCTAGTAAAATGCAATTAAATATAGAATTTATTGTGTTTTCGCTCTCTATAGATTCGATCCCTAAGTATTACAGTTGAAACTCTTATAAATTTGAAAGAGTAATCACTAGATGTAGGATTATTTGAATACGTATCAGCTTCAAGCTTGAGTTAATGAAATTGAACATGGTAATTTGATAACATGGTATTTTAAATGTCATTCGAAAAATAAAATACTCATATATGTGAAAAAACTTTAGTAAAATTTCACTCAAACACAGGCTTATGTTTCTAAATTGACATAACAGTTTTGATTTAACGTTTCATCTGGTTTCAAAAATTGGTAACTTTTTACATGCCTTTATATTTTAAAAATGCATAAAGCATAGATCCAGCATAACCCAGTGATTGACCCATCACGTTAAGCTGTATTACATCAAAAATTGACAATTAATCCAACTGGAAGTTAAATATTTGTAATACATAAAATAAACGCAACAATTGCAAATAATTTGCCACGAAAATATTTAATAGAACAGAAGGAACGACAATAAACTATAGATTCATATTATTGGTTGCAAGATTTGGTTTTATGAGTATTATTGAGTTAAGAAAGGAATATGTATAGCTAGATGATAAAATAAAAAGAGAAGAAAAGTGAAGAACGGAATGACGCAAACTTACCCAATCAAAGGGGAGTCCAACAAATATAAGCCAACCTAGTAAGATTGTAAACAGATCCTGCCATCAATATTACCATTATTAGTAAAATATCGAGGGTATTTGAATATTGTGTAACAATGTAGCTGTATTTAAACTAAAAGAGATGTATGTTTAATGAAACTGGACAACTTTTATAGTTTTTGGTAATATTGTGAAACATAAAAGTACAAGCTTCAATATACCTTCATATTACCACATATTGTATGAGTTAGTGCAGAATTAACTGTTGTATTGAGGAACACAAAGTAGTTTATCAAGAAAGCCAACAAACATGAAAAACATAGCACCACCTGCAAAAATATTCAAAACTTGTTAAATAAATCACAATATATTTTCTTACACTTCTAAGTTGTATAAACGATTAAGTTTAGTCAATAAATATCTTTTTATTCTCCATGAAAACTCTATCCAGATATAATATACTGAACATATTCGTGTAAAATATTTTATACGATTTGTTTTATAGTCGTACAAAACCATTGGGTCATATGATATATACTTTGTACATAAACATATCTGATTAAAATACTTTATACATGACATCCGTAATTATGATTTTTTATATGTTATATGAAACCTTCTGGAACAAGCTGAGTAAACAACTTATCCATATATACAACGGAGTGGTTTAAATCACTGATTTGCATGTACATTTGGTAAAATATTTATTAATAACTTTTTACATGATCATTGTACAAGTGTTAAAAGATATTGTCTCATGAACATAAATTTTCATAAAACCAACAAAAAATAGAAAAGTACCTGAAAGTCAAGGGAATAGAGATGAGGAAATGATAACATGGCTCTAAGTTCACCCTTTATAGTTGTCCAAAACAGCAAAAAGGGAATGCAAATTATTCCTATATGTTACAAATATTCGATAAGAAAATTTTAGTCTGATTGTTTGTTTCTTGAAAATAATAGATCGATGACCATAAGATAAATAGTTCGAAAGAAAATTTTCTTACCATTACTCCACATTAGCCCAAAGGTGTTAAGACCACTAGATTTTCCTACAAACACAAAAAAAAAAACTGATTATTTTTTTGTCAAAAAAAAAACTTTAATGAACATAGTAAACCGAGAGGCATATTACCGGTACGTGCAATCAACGCAAGATAAGTAGCGGTACATATATTTGCTGTGAACACCAGTCCATACCCATAAGCATCGAATGACAAGTCTCGGATTCCAGCGATTATAGCACCTAATAGAATTATCCCTACACTGTTAAGAATAACTGTACCATTAGTTATACATTGTGTAACTTACATATACAACGCGAAGTTCAAATAAAATATAAATTCAAATATTTACTGTGTCTTCTCTAATTAAATTAAAAATTGATTTATCAATTTAAATGTAGAACTGTTTTATCTTTATAAAACAGCATAGACGTATATTTTATATATGTAGCATAGATTGTGACCAATACTGATCCTTATAGTACATAGTGTATTATATTAATTTTAGAAAATATCATAGTCGAATATTTTATATATATGTATAAATATATAGCATAAATTGTTATGAAGACTGATCCATATAGCAAATAGTGTAATATATTAATATAAAATATCTCACTCGAGATTGAAGAAAAATATTTTTTAATTAAATGGTGTAATAGTGGTTCTATTTCGATTGTGTAATATTATAGTACCTGGAGATGATTGCAACTGAATGCTTTTGACCAGAAAGAAAATATTCCATGATCATTGTAAAAAGTATCGTTGTGCGTCTAAGAGTAGTGTACATTGGTACATTGATATTGCGTACAGATTCCATCGTAGCTAGCTGTATAAAACCAGTTATGTATAATGTATCTTTATGACAAACTCACGATCAAAGAGCACACCAAAAATCTATGTATACCATATAAAGTAGATACGTGAATGCAAGAGGGATCGTCTGAACCAAGCGTCTCGGAGAAACAAGAGTCAACAAACTGTCGTGCTTGCTCTTAGACTTATCCGTACAGAAGGATATGATCTTACAATATTTCATCACATACAAAATAAAACAAGAAGAAAGCATCTGCCGTGCAAGAAGATATATGAAATCTTTTAATTGTTGGAGTTTTATGAAACTGAGTATTTAGACATTTAACAAAAATAATTTAAAAATAAGAGGGAGTAGATTACCTGAAGCAAAGTTATGACATTTGCATTTGGAAAACTATATGAAGAAAGTGCTGCTTTATTGAAAATTACTAATAGTACTGCATGTAATCGAATTTAAAGATTATTAGCTATGAAACATTTGAAACATATTTATCAAAAAATAAAAACATATGAAAAGTATGCTAAATAGGATCTGAATAACTAATATGAAGATATATACATACTCTTTATCTTATTATATGAATCTGAACCCGACTGGAACTAACACGTATCACAGTATCTGAGTTTGAATTAGGGTCTAGTAGTATTTAAAATACAGTTATGACATACCAGCGGATGCCATGTAGGAGACTGCAGCAAACACCCCTTTAAAAGACATTCCTGACGATGAAAATTTGTCTCTTCTTGGTTCTTCGAAGGAAATTGGAAGCGTCTTTTTCTCTGGTGACTGCATTTTTCTCAACTTATATACAAATTTGAGTCTTAAAGATACATATATATATATGAAATCTGTCTACATATTTAGTTGGATACATGTAACAAAGGGACCAAACAAAATGTTTTACCTGTAAATTTTGTATTTGCCAGATCAAGATTTTGCAATAAGGAAACATATTATTATTTAGCTCTTGTTTATGTTCTCTATTATTTACAGAAGGAAATAAATATAAATTTATTAATTGGTAACTAATTTAAGAAAATAACTTTCTTAAACACAAAGATATCTGCCACAATAATATAAAATATACTATTTTTTGCTATTTATTTATCTATTTATTTCTTCGCTATGTTGTTTTCTATGGAGGTGTATTGATGTAATATTAAATCAGTAATTTATATGCCTTCAATACATATGATTTATTACCAGAATCATATGATTTATTATCAGAATCTCATCCTTATCATTTGAAAAAAGTAAAGAATTCTCATTGAATGTAAAATTCTAAATTCAAATGATAGCAAAAACTATTATTTGATTTAAAATATTTTCTGTTTTTTTTAACATTAAAAAACTTTTTTTATATAAATTTGTTCTAAATTTAAATTTATAAGAGTTATCAAATAGATCCATTGTCCACATTATCAATTTTTTTTTTTAAAAAATACTCTTCTCGAGTACGCATATCAGCTAGCAGAGGAAGATCGCAACCTCCCGACCTGATATCATGACATATTTGCATGAGATGGTCAGGATCTTCAGGAAAGTTTCCTCCTTTGCCAGCTTGAGGCTCTGGAAGAACATACGCAAGTCGTTCAGAACCAACCCTCGACTGACCATATCCAGACGTTCTTCCATCCGAAGAACTCTCAGAAGAGGACGAGTCTAGGCTCTCGGAGACTATCTTTTCAAGATAATAACGACGAGCTCGCCGGCCGGGGCACCACTCTCATCAGGACGATTACCAACGGACTCTGCTGACTGAGTTGGAATCGTTTGATTCTCAGTTGCCGGAAGAGCAATAGCCAGTGGTCGAACCAGGATACCGGGAGATTGAACATTCGACCTGGAGCGAAGAACATGACCACGAGGAGATTTCCGAGCCTTTTCCGATGTCTCGACCTCGGGAGCCGCATCGGAGCCACCAGGAGAAGGTCTCCTCCTCCTTACCCTTACAGGTAAAAAAAAACAAAGCAAAAAACAATGCACACGATTAGGTAAAGAAAGCAATTTTCAGTATTTAAAGGAATCGAAGAGAGAAATAATTACTAAGACGACCACCCCGTGGGTGAGTCGGGATCGCTAAACCAACGGGTTCAGCTCGAACTTTTCCCCGAGGAAGGGCAAGAGCGGCCTAAATACGTTCCACAGTGAAGGAAGACCAGCGAGTTTTGTTGGGGTCAAAATCGGTACGATGGAATCAATCGCCAAAACTCCCCGCAAAAAGATAAAAGAAATCGTTTTATAAAACTCGAGAAATCATTTTATAAAACTCGAGAAATCATTTTATAAAAATCGAAGAATCGTCTTATAAAACTCGAGAAATCATTTTATAAAACTCGAAGAATCGTTTTATAAAACTCAAAGAATCGTTTTATAAAACTCGAAAAACGTTTTATAAAACTCGGGAAATCGTTTTATAAATCCAAAAGAGATTTCCGAACAAAGGAAATCCGCGGAAAACTCGGAAGATCGTTATCTCGGAAGAACGAAACAAACGTCGATTACACGATTGTCCGAGTTAAGCACAAAACCGCGAAAAAAACAAAACTCCGTAAAACGCGAGCTAGTCTCGTCCCGACTAGCTCGCCATTCGGCGAGTTAGTCTCGTCCCAACTACCTCGCCAAACGGCGAGCTGGGCCGGCTCGCCGTTGGGCGAGCTAGAAGCTTCCCGGGCAGCTCGCCCAACGGCGACCTGAACCGACCATCCCGAGCCTCGATCTCCCGCATCCCCGATTCAAGGCTTACGTCCTTCGACACAATCATGTTCCGAACCACAGTCGAAATGTCTCCTGTTTCGTCTCGATCCGTCCTATCGTTCGAGTTTTACGATAAAAACCGTAAAACTTTGTTTTCTCGAAAAGAACACGAGGAAATCGTATAAAAAGGCAACGGTTAAATGAAACACCGAACATTTCCTAAACTATACGATTTATTAGAGATTTTTCGTAAAAATCGTAAAAAACGCGTTTTTAATAAAAAACGTCGAGTGAATCGTAAAAACGGCAACGATTAATCGAGAAACGAACGTAGCTAAACTTTACGATGAAACTCGGGGAATTTACTAAAAACGACATTGGATCAGGAAACAATCTCGTACAAATTCGCAAAACGGATTTATCGCAAAACGGCTCGGAAAGTCCTAAAACGTGGTAATAGCCCATCTCGTGATCTTAACGAAATCTAACCCGAAGATACGATAACGTTTTGACGATTTACCCGCAGAAGGAAGATAAATGTCAAGTTTGAAGGATAATGGCAAGTTTGAAGATAAATAGAAGATTTCCGCGGGAAAAAAGGAAAGGTCAAGATAAATGAAAGATTCCCAATAAACTCGAATCTGGGCAAAATGGAAAGACTAAACCGCCTAGGAAGAGAGTATATAAGCAAGAGGCATAGGGCAGAAGCAGGAGACGATTTCAGAGCTTTCACCACCAAACTTAGCATTTAGGAATATTTTCGTTTTCTGTTAGCGAACTGCGTCTCAACTAGGGTTTTCGGTCTTAGACTTCTAGAGTTAGGGATTTCGCCGACGGCTCACACAGTTAAGGCCACTCTCGCTGTAACCGTTCTTACGCAGATTCGGAATAAAAACCTTCTTGCTCTCAATCTCATTCATTCTTACTTTAATTTTAGGTTCATCATTTTCTTAATTATCGTTGTGCGGTTCTGCAGATAGCCGCGTCCTCTGGAAACTTAGGGTTTACTCAAAGTTTCCTTATTACGATTCATTGAAAGTAGGTGAATTTCGGTTCCCACAAGTTTTACCTCGGCAAAGAGTCTCTACCAAACTCCGAAGCTCGGGTGTCATCAGGGAGCCTTCGAAAAGCTCTACATTTACGAAGAATAAAACAAAGGAGTAAGAAGAAAATAATATGAATACAAGAATTAATCCTCGATGTAAAGAAGAACAAACCTATATCTCCTGACCAATCGCGGGGGAGTCGATTGAAGTCGAAGTCTCCAACCGAAGCCGGGTCTATCTTGAAAACAAAGCATTTCTCCCTACATCTGTCATCTCGACCAGGAATACCCTCGATGACAGTGCGACCAATGCAAGGATAGAGAATGTAGGTACCGGGAAAACGAGCGTTATGCCTAACTGAGCAAAGTTGTTTTAATTCCTCTAAACCAAACCTGAGACCTTCCTCCTTAGCTCGAACCCATTAACCCAGAAAGTAGAGAAGAAAGTTGGGACACACACAAGTAAAAGCCATCCTCATCTCAGCAAGAGCTTCGAGGAGGAATTGAGGAAGTGGAAACGATAGACCACAGTCTTTAAAATGCGCCACATAAGCGCCACATTATCCGTCGCGAATGCTCTCGGGATTTTTGTCTTCTATCGCGATGTCGATTTTCACCTCGTAGTTGGGAGATGAGGAGGAAACCGAATATTTGTCATCGAGATATCGCAAATTAAAACTGAGAAGCAAGAGAAGAAAAAGAAAATCGAAGAAATCGCAAGAGAGTGGATGCTCTCAACGAAGAAGATGACCTATTTAATGAGGATCTAAAAACAGTTCCCAAAGCGGATGACGTCGACGAACAACCTCAACTGCACGATCGAGGAAAGTGGCTGACAAGGACGATACACGTGGCGCCGCTTTCTCCGAGATGGGCGATGACAAACAATTATATATAGCTTCTCGCCTCTTCAGTTTCTCTAAATTCAAAACGCTGGGAGGCAAATCTTGGACCCAAAATCGGGCCCATTAAGTCCAAGCTCGTCAAAGAAGTAAACAAGCAAGTTCGAGGAAGTACAACGAAAAACGGAGTAAAACCCGATGTCCAAAACAAGGCCCAGGCCCAAGTTTTATCATCACATCATGACAAGCGGTCTCCACGAGGTTGGAGTGAGGTCCCGGAGATTGCGGAAGCAGCTAGAGGACGAAGGGCTATAAAAAGAGAAAAACCCTAGAGCTATTCACTAATCACATCGACCTCATCTCTTAAGATTTATAGTTCGCTTTACTCTTTGTTATTATTTCTGATGTTGTTCATCATCTTGTAAACGAATTCTACATTCAATAAAAGTCCGTTATTTTCAACCGAAGTCCGAATATATTATTGTGTTAAGAGCATCGTTGCCCACATCCTTTGTCTTCCCCTGATTGAACTCTCGATCTTTACAAAATACTGAGTGTGGATTTTAGGTTCTATACGTATGATCCTCTGAATCTGGCAAGATTGCAGTGTCTATTGCACAACTCTCATGGAAACCACTGTCTGCTCAACTGCTTATGGAGTAGTCATCCTGCTTTGTACTGGTAAGATTCCTTGCGTGGAATGTCTGTCGATCGATGTGTCTTGATGCATATCGGTCGCCGGCTCATCGATGAAATCAGTCGATGACATAGTGTGTGTGTCGATCGGTTCTGAATAATCGGTTTCATACTCAGCTCCACAATGGCATGCGGCGATGATTCCAGCATCGCATGTCTCCAGAAAGTGTACATGATGCTTAACAAAACGAACATGATCATAAAGATGTTTGGATCTACCAATGTAAGGCAGAACCTATTGGTGTTCATGTCACAAACTGCTCGCAGTTACAGGATAGCTGCGCCCAGATCCCTGCCAACTCGTCCAGCTCTATTATACCTGCATAAACATCTCCCCTTGGGTACTTAGTCATTCAACCAACCATCCCCACTGACCAAGTAACCTTTGGGAAGTCTTCAACAGCAATGATAATGCATCTAGCTCCTCTCCGCTAATGCATCACCCATCTCCTCACGATTGTAGCATAAGATAGCAAGTCCCTCTCCTGGACTAACCTGTGCATCCTTTGATC